ATAAAATAACTTTGTCAACCCTACGAATACCTCTTCGGAAAAAGTAACTTTGTATGGTCTGATGTCATTGTTGGCAGAGTTCTCGGTACCGGGCGTCCACCAGGTCTCTGGCAATTTCGATAATTTCGTTCTACGAGACGAGAAGTATCTTCTCGTTAGAACGATTAGCATCGCCGAACAACTGAGGATAATTACGCCAAACAGTAAACAATCCATTTAACCGGCACACCTTATATTTAAGTCTGCAAATAAATTTTAATCATTTAGATAACACGCATCTACTATGTGACGAGTGTAACTGATTACAGCATGACACTGTTGCATCGCGGTCGCAAGTTGCACAAACAGCGCAGTGATGTGTTCATATTAAAGTAGGCGCCAAATCTCGAAATTGCGAACATTTAATAGTTTAAAAGGCATTCGAGGTGAATAGTCAAGATCACATCTTGCAAAGTGTGTGTGTCTATTGAATGTTTTGGATTCGGATTCAGAATACCAGTAGAAATATATGACAGAATGTTCTATTTCATGCATGATATACATGATGTATAATTTTATCCTTATTATTGCACTGAATATTAAAGAAGGATAATAAAAAACATCATAGACATCATGAATAAAATAGCTTAAGAATTACCTACTAAAGTCCATATCAAGCATGCATTAAAGGATTGCGAATTAAAAATCAAAATTCTATCAATTAGAACGAGATGAATAAAAATTAAATTATCCAATTCTAAACTTAACATTCCGAGCTTCAATTCGTGAATTTTAATAATCTTCAATTGACTGTAATTCAGACGTCATTGTTTATACCATACGTTGATATTTTATTGTTTACTGAAATAAAACAAATTGACAACAAGAATAAATAAATATATAACTATTCAATTCATAGAATATACTTATATCCACTCAAAAAATTATACGAAATTAAGAATCAACAAAAACTCAAAATGATTTTATTTCGATTAAACCTATTCTATAATGTGCAGTTTTCTGTTTCTTGCTTTTTACTATTTTTTACATCTTATCTTTTTGTTTCTTATCTGGTTTTAAAGTCACGAGATAAGAGATAATGAACTTCGGAATAAACAAGAAATATGTAGTAAGGAATATAATTGTCAATAAAACGGTTACAAAAGGAGAAAAAAGCAAGAAACAGGAAATAAAGAGCACAGTGTAGAATAGGCTTAAACGTTAAATAGTCAAATTTTGTAATAAAAAATCATTTTTACTTTCATGACATCAAAATAAAATTTTTAACTTTTTCTTGACTTGATATGTTCTTCGATATGTAAAATAAAATTTTATTTCTGTATTTTTGTCGTACAACTGATGTGTACAGAACAGAGAGATCCTCGGATCTCTCGATTCCATAGCTAATTAACAAGCTTAAAAAATTTGTCGTACGGCTGTGTATTTGAAAAATGTCCGAGTTAAATTTAAGGCCAAGGCATCCTATATCGAGAACTTACTTGTTTTTAGTTTTCCGTAAAGTTCCCCTGGTCAAATTTATTCTTTCATTTATCTTTCGCTTGAACGATTCATTTGTTCCATTCGAAAAACACTGATAAAATGATCGAAAAATTCTCAGCAGTCAGCAAGTCCTTTCGTGATAAACGCTCGATTGTCATGATGTGCAACGCGCATGCGCAAATAGTACCGGTGAATAATACCGTTAATTGACACTCGTGCGTGCGTGCGTAATAGTGTGTATCATGTGTATGTACGAAGTAACCAAAGCCAGTAAAACTGTAAAGCGACTTGTTGATGCGGAGCAATTGACTATGCAACGGTACTTCATTTTAATATTTATATTGGACACGATCAACGTGATGTTACAATTTCTTTGAAGCATTCTTTAGGTTTGTTTTTTTATTCCTGATGGCTGTATTAGAAAATTTTCTTTTTTTGCCATAAATCACACATATATATATATATATAA